CCATCTTTTATACTACATGCTTTAACTCCATGTATAGGTACTCATGTTCCTGCTCTGCTGAGAGATTTTCAAAGTTTTTATGTTGTTATGGAGTAAAATCTAAATTCTTTAGCACGATGAAACATAATGGTCTTTATAACCTTGTCCCTTCTACTCCCTAATCCTAGTTCCTATGATTTGCTGTTACCTTAAAGATTCTTTTTTACTTTTATGATATTATAGTATCTAGAATAATATATTTATATTATAGGGCTGAAATCATCTTACTTGTAACCCCACCACTCAGACAGAGCGACAAATGATGTGTAAATGCTGTTGTCTAGTCTTTTTCTTCTATAAAGAAAGAGAATTCTAGTGTGGAGTGACAGCTCCCTATTACCTACAGTTAAGAATAACATGAGAGAAGATATTATAGTTCTTCTCAAGACACCTAGGCATTGCGCATGCAGTCCTTTTACCTAGAATACCATCCTGCGCTGATCTACTTGCCAGACTGTGTAATATTTTAATTTTAATTGAAACACTACCAATTCTGTGAGCATTTGAATGTCCCCAGGCAGATTTAAATGTTCTTCGCCTCATATTGCAGTGATTTGAATATTTGTATTTAGGACAAATGGAAAGTTCTTTGAGGCAGGAACTTTGTATTTCCAGGTCTAGCAGAAACCCTGATAGAGTAGACTGATGGAGCACTTCCAACGTGCTGTGGGAGAAACCATTAGAATCCAAGGGATTAAGAGTATGTGAAGATAGTATGAGGCATCGTCGGAAATGTCTCTATAAACTCTGTGGGTGGTTGTGTATTAAGTATACTGTAGGCAGCCTAGAAACTTAAGAATAAATGCAGAGAAATTGCTCGTTTGCAGGAGCAAGTACACGTGCATGTGAGAGATGAACTCTTGAGTGTATCGGGTTCAGGAGTTAGGAGTAGGAGGGTAAGAAGTAGATAACCAGAGCATGGGGAACTATTTCTAGACCTCTGAGGATGAAGAGAGGAAAGCTAGAACTAACCCAACCCTCTTGCCCTCTTAATGAGCTGTGGTGTGTGCAGTGGCATTGGTGGGAACTCCTGAGGGCCGAGGTTCTCAGCATAAGAATCGCTAGGAAAGATTAGAAATGCCAACGTCTAAGTTTACAATTCCATAGCTTGTGATTTTTAGGTCTGGGGTGGCCATCCCAAATGGGTTGCCTTGTGGGGGGGGGCGGTGTCTGACCTGTAATTCAAATAAAACCCAAACTCACTGCCGTCTGGTTAATTCCAACTCATAGCGACTCCATGGAGCAGAGTGGAACGGCCCCCTCGGGTTTCTAAGGCTGTGAATCTTTCCTGGAGCCATCGGTGGGTTTTACTTTAACATCCGACCTTGCAGTGAGCAAGGCCTACGGGAGCTACTTATAGCCTCTTCCTCCCTCGCACGCTGCGGG